ACATACATATACATATATATATATATATACACACACACACATACATATACATATATATATATATATGTTTTCATAGATTTTCGTAGTATATATATATATATATATTTAAAATAATATAATATTATTATTAAAACTTATTTCAACTAGAAAAGGAAATGTTACATTTTTGCAGCTTCCTGCTAGCTTGCCCATTACTTATGCCAACTTTTTTTAAATATTGTAAGTCTTATTTCTGAAATATTATATAAGACATGGTTATATAAAAAAAGATTTGAATGATTGCAACTATAGAGGATCTAAATCTTTCAACCAGAAAGTAATTTGTTCAATTTTTATTTTCAAAAGAGATGAAAAATCCTATATTGCCTCTAAGCCTCATCAAGCTTTTATGACTAATCACAGTGCTGCATGCATTGAAATACATTTTCTAATTTGTGTTGTATTTCATTATTTGCTGTCATTGGTTTTACACTAGAGTAAGGTAAGTGACTTCATTCCTGCAATATCAGTGCAGCTTCCATATCTTCTCAATGATCATCATTCCGTTCACTAATACTGATATTGTTGTTTGAAGCTGAAGTTGCTCAGCTTCAGCACTCGTGTCAAACCCTGAAAGTCTTACCTGAAGGGTATCGTAGTCCTGATTTGGGCCTTGGGGCCCTAGATACCTGCATGCCAAATAATTGGAATTTGAAAGTTGTTGGGTTGGGTCTGTTCGATGTTTACCGAAATTCAAAAGGAAAACGAAGGGATTTCCCCCTCACAAAAGGAAGGAATCTAATTATGAGAGCTGTCCCTGAGCCAGCCAGGTTCGAACTAACCCTCGGCACAATTAGCCTGCAATAACGCATTCTAACCACTGCGCCACCACAGCTTAGATAATAGCAATGGCGCTTTGTCTTATACACCGTTTCCCAGTGCTTTGCAGGCCTCTCGAAGCGGTTTACAGAGTCAACCTATTGCCCCCCCCCCCCCAAACAATCTGGGTCCTCATTGTACCCACCTCGAGAGGATGGAAAGCTGGGTCAACCTTCAGCCTGGTGAGATTTGAACGGCCAAATTGCAGGCAACTGGCAGTCAGCAGAAGTAGCCCTGCAGTACTGCACTCTCACCACTGCGCCACTGTGGTTAAAAAAATAGAAGCTTTTAAGGAAGGTGCTCCAACTCAAGACTGCGTCAGATAAATTATTTCAAATATATCTGTTGACTTCTTCTAGCTGGCCTCCTCTGGGCTGGGAAGCTAAGCAGAGGTCAGGCCTAAGAGACCACCGGGGAAATTCTAGGGTTGTAGGACAGAAGAACACCTTGAGAAGAAGGCAGTGGGACACCAATTCCATAATATTTTCACCCCCCCCAAAAAAAAATTGACAGAGGCCCACTACTCCCTCTTCATCATGGACCCATATTCCTCATGCTCCAGAAATAGCAATAAAAGAGCAGTAGACTTATATACCACTTCACAGTTCTTTACAATCCACTCTAAGCAGTTTACAGATGTTGCCCCCAACAACCCATCCTGACCATGTCCCTGATGC